CTGCCGAGCCTACACTCCATGTAGTTGCTACGAAACAGATTCGCGTCGTCGCATGAACCCCCAATATTACCCTCCTGGTGCACAGGCCTTGGGTGCTAGAGCCTTCTGGCGGTGCACGTCGTTCGTTGAGGACTTCCCCAGGTAGTCCTCGACATGAACTGGCCATCGCAAAGACGGGTCAGTCGGCAGTGCGTCAGCTCTCGCCATGCCGTGCCTGCTAAGACGTACGCGATCCACGCTCCCTGCCACGCCACTGAATGCAATGGAGCCATGGTCTAGCCACATCCTCCCTCTCTCCCATCATGTGCCGTCCACTAAGCTACTGTTATAGCGCTGCACATGAGACCCAGAAGCAAGGCGGCTAAAAAAAAGCACATAGGGTCTGTCAAATGGTGCCTGGAATGCTGTCGGAAGCTGTGGGAAGACAGAGCATGCCGCCTCCAATGTCAGTGTCTTGGAAATGCCAATTCACGTTGTTGGGCACTTGGCGCGGCCACGAAACGCCATCATCAGCATGCCGCAGCTCAAGACTGATCATTCAAGGAGCTGGTGTGACAAAGACTTTCTTTCTTGCGGTAAGACAAATCTTGCAGTGTTGAGACCTAAGTACTCGGTCGAAGGCCCAGACCCGCAGAAGTGATGAGGCCGGCGGTTACGCTGACTCCAATGCGCCTGTCAATGGTATGCTGACCGCTTTTCTCGCATGCGCGGGTCCGGTCATCGTATCGGGCTGCTGTCCTTCAATCCCCATAAGCAAGCAAGAAAGACAAACCCGTCCTGAGAAAGAGGGGAAGTAGCTGCTTTACTTTCTCAATGGTGCTCGGAGGGTCCTTGCCATCACATATTACTGCTGCTTGGTCCGAACCAAATTAAGCAGTGTTAATCACATATGAAGTTGATGTGTTATTGTCAGACATAGTACAATACTTTCCCCTCGAATAATCTTCGAGCGGTTCTCGAAACGATGCAGCGGTCGATTTCGAGGCCATATGGCCCTAGCTTGGTCCAAACTTCAACTTCCATAGAGCCGCTGCCGTGGGTGATTGTGATCACCTGTGTGCTGTAAGAGCTTAAGCCCGGCGCCAACAGATCAGCTCTATGTTCGAGTTCTTGTATGTCCCGTGCCGCCGTCCCAGGTGGGCTGGGAGTCCGCTCTGGAGTAAGCGCCTCGCTTTCGCCCGATGTCTGTCCACGTGCAACGCTCTTGGCAACAGTGCCTTCCATGCAGACTGCACTTGCAATACACACTGCGCCGGTCAACTGCAAGCTGGGGTGCGGTTTTCCCATACTGTACGCCAGGACTTGGATGTCTGAGGGCGAGCAGGGCGAAGGATCGGGCCGAGACACGTAGGCTATCTTTGGCGTGCCTCGAACCATAGATGCCGCCTCAAGATCTGGCGCAAGGCCCATCAGTACAGCACCGTGTTGGCGAATGGCTTCGGTGACTGTGATGGTAAGTGGCGAGTCCTGCTGTTGGCCTTTCAAAAGCGGCGCCGTGGTCCGGGCATCTACCAGGATGAATGGATTCGCGGAGTCGATGAGTGTTACATCTACCGAGAAAGGCGACAAGCCTGCCACTTCGTCAACGACGATCTTCTCGGCGCGAACTCCGCTGGGGAACAGCTTGTTCGTCATGCTCCCTGCCGGATCAACGAACGCAACCTTGATTTCGCTGCCGGAGCCCCTGACGCCAGGAATGATACAATTGCCGTCCTCCTTGAGCTCACCATTTTCATCTATCTGTACAGTTTCGACAATGGTGCTTGAAGTGTTGGTGTTGAAAATCCGTACATCCACAGTTCGTGCGCCAGGCTGAGGCTCCACGAGCTTTTCCTGAACGGCGAACGGCCCGACACCAGAACACATGTTGCCGCAATTGCCGCTCATGTCGATGGTTTCTTTGCCTACGGCTACCTGGACAAAGGTGTAGTCGACATCAACGCCAGGGCGACTTGAAGGAGCTACCACTGCCACCTTCGATGTGACACTTGTTGCGCCGCCAACGCCATCGATCTGGCGGGTGTCGTTGTAACGTGAACCCATCGCGGCCAGGAGGGGAGCAGCCCATGCATTCTCTGACGGTGGAAGATGCGCTCGATGGATGAAGAGGCCCTTTGAAGTGCCAGCTCGCATTAAGACGGCTGGCAATGAACATCGAGTCCTTCGGGCAGATGAGGAAGGGGGGTTGATCGCCATTGTAGGTGAAATTGATGGCCACAAAGCTGGATACAGTTGGCGACCAAGTCTTTCTTGAAATATTCGCTTGCTGGCGTTCATCTGTCGGTGCGACAGGTTGGTGGAGGCTTGTTGAAGAGGCTCAGTCACCCCGAAACTCCAGGTATAAGCAGCATATTTAAGGCTTCCGATGGAGCAACAGATCGCATGGAAAATATCAACTATCAAGATATTTTTCGTGGCTCTGACTGCATTTCGCCGAGGCGGTTGTGACATTTGGAGTGGAAGGGATGCTTCCCGTGGACACCCACGGGACGTGACGTTCCCGCGGGAAGGCAGCAAGGATTTCGCCCCCGTCACCCGGCCCCCCTTTTCCGCCCCTGGTCCCAGTTCCTGAGCATAAACGTCGGAGAGTTTTTCCTTGCCATCAATTCGTCATTTTGACAGCTCAGACTGGGAGTCTCCGCTATCGAGGGATTCTGCGGTGTTGTGGCGATCTTCAGAACGGGAAACTGTCAAGGGCTGAGCCGTTAAACCCGAAGAGCAGGTCATCAATCGAGGCTGTCCCACCCGGTGCGTGGATATCCGTGGACCAAGTTGTGACTGTGTTGTCACTCGGGTTTCGGTCATCAAGAGGCCTTATAACTTCGCTGTTGTGGTAAAAAACGCCCGATGGGATTGGCGCAGTTTGTGCTGGTATGAAATTGTCCATATGGCCCAGGTCGGCTTGATGCTCGCTCGCTGCGGCAAACCCGTCCTGGCCCCTGACAAAGCTTTGGATGATGCCATCGATATCGGACCACCCTGCACTAGGTGAAATATTGTCGGGCACTGCAATCTCAGCCTGTTCTGCGTGGTCAGGTGCTGTGGCGATGTCGGTACTTGAAGGTTGAGCCGTAGCTCTTGGCGCGTTTTGGCAGTGAACATCGGAACCTATGTTTCCTTCAGCCACACTAACACCTAGCCTCTTCATCAAGCTTTGCACTATTGCATTTGCTTTCCTCACTGCCCAATTTGTCTCTGAATTCTCTCGAAATACAGCCAAACATGTCTGCAGGCTACGATGAGCATCAGACTCGTTACTCCGTTTGGCGGCGATGCGCGCATGTATGGTTGCAGCAACATAGGTCGCATAGGAAACCAGATAAGGCGCACGTCGCACAGTAAATGCCCGGTCGTATGCTCTTAGTAGTGCGACAATGCTATTGGCAGCAGATGCGCACGTAATGAATGAATTGACCGACACAGAGCGTGATGTAGTGTATAGATGACCATCTGCCACAAACGGTCGGTGGAGCAGAATGGTAAGAACATGATACATTGCGCTGCAAATCGTCAGCAAGTG